CAGCTCGGAGCGGGGCCCGTCGCTCCCGGGGGGAGCAGTCACCGTGGACCCGGGGCCGGGGGAGGTGACGGGCCGCGCTGAGCCGCCGCGGGACAGCGGGGACAGGCGGGGACTCGACACGAGCCGACCCCCGACACCGGGGGGCCGAACCGCACCCGGGTCCCGGGCCGCAGACGGGGGTGCCCGCGGGGCCTCTCGGGCAACGTGCGGAGCTGCGTCCCGGCCACTGTGCCCAGCGCTGCCCGGCAGCGCCCGAGGGGCCCGAGGGCTGAGGGTGCGGTCCCCAGGAGCAGACGGAGCCGCCTCCTCCTGTGCACCCCCACGGGGCCGGTCCTGAGTTAGTCCTGGGTGGGTGATGGGGCAGCGGGTCCCAGCGCTCAGAGTTTGTCCTGCCCTGCAATGTGGGTCTGGCAAAAAGCTCCAGAGCACAGCTGGGCCTTTCTTGACTCTTGGCGTCTAAGCCAAGGGTACGTATGTCAGGTCTTAGGTCAGTGTCCCCAGACTGTCTCCCAGGAGCTCACTGGTGTTGATGACAGTGCAGTGACTGGCCTATGGCCCCCCGTGCTGTGACACCTCCTGCCTGTCCTGGGGCAGATCAGGCAGTCTCCCAGCCCATGCAGCTGTGGCTTTCTCCTCACTACCTCCAGAGCAGACGGAGCCTCATCCACTATTTGAAACCAGGCCCTGAAGTGCCCCTCAGTTTGGCTTCAGTTTGATGAGGGCTGTCCTGGGACTGGAATCGAATCACATAGGCACAGCACTGGTTGTGCACAGGGTGATCAGGCCCAGATCAGTCCTCTGGTGGGATGATACCAAGCTCCTGGGTCACACAGGAATGAGTACAGATGTGCCTTGAGAAGAGAGAAGCAGAGCATGGCAATAAATCCTCCTGAAACAGAGACATGGGCTGGTTTCTATGTGCTGGCAGTTTGCCATATCCTGGCTGTCCAGGGAAAAGCTATCGAAGGAAGGGCTGGACCTGGGCACACGGAGCCCCAGGACAGCCTGGTGGTGATGGACTGGACAGCAAGGATCTAGAGGTGGAGGGTCTGCTGAAGCCAAAGCTGAGGCTGCCTGCATGTCCTGCCTGGGTGTTGTATTTCCAGGTGTTTGAATTTCCTCAGCATCGATTCCACAGTAAACTTCCTGGTCTCATCCTGATTTCTACCATCAGCCCCTCTAAGACTTTCCCTCTGTGCTGCAGCCTGTGCTGTTCAGTTTAATGCAAATTTGACCTGGAAAAGCAGAGAACACAAGGCACTTCCCAGTGCACATGTTGAGCTAAAAGACATGACTGTGACACACCACGTGCCCTGAGAATGTTGTTTCTCCAGTGCTTCATGCTCTCCCCCTCTCCCACGTCTCAGCCACGCAGTTGCAGTTGGGAAAAGCCCCAGTTCATTCACCTGAGCTGCCCCAGGTCCCACTGTGGAAGGGGAAGCTTTGTGTCCCTCACTGAACCCACCTCAAAACAGTGACATTCAGCTGGATGACACTGGCTGGGTTTTTGTGAGCCACAGACAGCGAAAAAATAGCAAATTAGAGGGAGAAGGACCCTGATCCTTCTTGAACCACTAGAAATTGATTTAATTTATACTTTGACAGCCAAGATTGAATACAATCACAAGCCCCTCAGCTGGGTGCAGGGTGTTTACCTTCCTTTTATTGAAAGAGCAGAAAGCAATATCCCCGGACTGGGAGGACTGGGAGAGGGAGACCAGGCTCTGCAGGGGCCAGGCCTGTCCACACATCTGCTCTTCTGGCAGGCACAGGATCGAGGGGCTGGGGGAGATTGCAGATGAGAAGTGTAAACTGCTCTTTAATGAAGTTCCCTGGGTTACACCTTGCTGTTGGCTCCCTGAAATCATTCTAAATTCAAGTATTTCTGTGGCCTAATGAGTTTATTTCTCTTTTCCCATTAGCTGCCTATTTATTTGTCTAATTATTTTCTGGATTTTTTTGACTGTTTTACTAAGGCACCCTCTGTCATGTCCTGTGCCACTTTGTGAGAATTTCCCCACTCCTCTGTCAAGTATTGTCATTATTTGTCACTGAGAAACAGGAGTTTTTTAGCAAAATACCACTAATCTGAGGGATAAAACCACCCAAAAGCTCAGCTCCTAAAGTAATCCTATCCCTAACCTCCATTCAGATCTTCTATTTATGGCAAAAGCAGCATTGTCAAATTGATTTCTCCTCCTGGATTCCTTGTCTGTTCCTGATTACTTGATATGATTGGTAACTGCAGTTACTATATCTCTCAGGAAAAATAGGTTTGCAGAGTGAGCCCACCCCTGTGGCTCTGCAGAGCCAAACTCAGCAGGATTTAAAGGTAAATCCTTTGAGCTTTTGAAGCTGCACATTGCACTGCTGAGCAAGAGGGGACCTCTGTGAGACCCTCCTGTGTGCCACTGCCCTGTGCAGCCCTTTTTGCAGGGGGCACAACCCATCGGGGAAACTGGGGATTTTGACACTGGTTGCTTGGAAGGGAGTTTGGGAAGTTTTATGGGAAGCAAGGCTCACTCATGAACCTTTGCTCACATGTAATTCCCAGACAAGGGATGTTAGAATAGAAGCTGTAGGGGTAATTGGATATTATCATGCCCTTCTGGGCAGACAGCTTGCTCTGAGGAAAGGTTCAGGGACACTCACACAAGTTCCTGGATCACCCCTTGTGATCGGCTTGGGCACGATATTCCAGCCACTAGTCTGTTTGGGATTCAATTTGTGCAGTTTCCATGAGCTGGACTTGCCTCTGAGGGGCTGGAAGAGTGGGCAGGAGTGTGTCTGGCTCAAAGGGCAGTGGGAAAGGGGGTCTGGGACAGCCTCCTTCTGGAGTACCCATTCCCCAAGGTCACTCTGGGGCACGGGTACTCCAGGGAAGTCCTTCACCTCTTGAGGTGATGCTCCTGGCCATCCTTTTCACTCTGCAGTGGCAGAGTCCTCTCTGGTGCTGGGCCAGGCCTTGAGGCACCTTAGGGGAGAGGCTGGGACCTGTTCATGCTCTGCAGTGCTATCCCAGTTCCACACAGAGGGAGCGTGCACCGAGTCTGGGTACCCAGCTGCATGTGCTCATGTCCCAGTGCCTCCTGTCCCAGGGTGACCTCCCCACCTCTGAGCAGCCCTGAGCAGTCTCAGGCAGCTCGTAGACCTGTTCCTCAGTGTCCTCCCCTATTCCCTGCTGTCTCTGTGGGAATCCTTTTGCCTGGGATCAGTATTTCCTGGTTATTGCTTTGCCCTCAAGGTCTTCGACTTTCCCCTAATTTTGTTTCTTATCACGACCAGACTGGTTATCTTTACGAGCCACTGACCCCATAAACTCTTCATATTGTCCTGTGCTGTCTTTAATCTACACATAAACCTGCTCTTCTAATAAACCCCAGACTCCAGGGGATGATGATAATCAGTATAATACACAGTCCCTCTTAGCAAACAAATGGAAACATCAGTATCATCTTGGGAAAGTCCCAAAGATAAGGATCCTCCCTTGTCTGTTCCTGGGGTCTGTTGGGATATTACTTTTCAATCTCCCTTGTGGCACAGCTGATGCTATTGCTGCAGCTGGGTTAGTTACCCAAACTCTGCATTACTCTGTGTTATTGGAGCATTATTGGGCCACATGGGGAGTGTTTCCTCACAGCCCTGAGGCAGTGCTGGGTTTATGGTGACTCTCCAAGATGGGAGTGATCCTTGTGTGTGATCACTGTGAAGGTGAGGGAGGATTTGAGGAAATCAGACTGTAATTTAGCATTTACTATCAAAGGGCCGGGAGATCTGTTCCAGGAGACAGTGCCACAGAATCCCACAATGGCTGGGGTGGGAAGGGATTCATCCAGTTCCAACCCCCGGCCATGGGCAGGGACACCTTCCACTAGACCAGGTTGCTCCAAGCCTCATCCAACCTGGCCTTGGACACTTCCAGGGATGGGGCAGCCACAGCTTCTCTGGGCAACCTGTGCCAGGGCCTCCCCACTCTCACAGCCAAGAATTTTTTCCCAATAACCCACTTAACCCTGCTCTCTTTCAGTTTCAAACTATTGCCCCTTGTCCTGTCATTCCATGCCCCTGTAAATAGTCCCTCTCCATCTTCCCTTTGCTCTCTTCAGGTGCTGGAAGGCTGCAATTAGGGCACCCTGAAGCTTCTCTTCTCCAGGCTGAACAATCCCAATTCTCTCCCCTTTCCTCACAGCAGAGGTTCTCCATCCTTCTGACCATCTTGGTGCCTCCTTTGGACTCTCTCCAGAAGCTCCATGTCCTTCCTGTGCTGGGACTCCAGAGCTGGAGGGACCTTCAGAGTGTTGCAGCAGCTGCTTTGCTGCAGAATGGTCCCTCCCAGCTGGACCAGCAGGAGCCCCTCCCAGTCATTCACTTTACAGCTGCTGCAGGGACTGAACTCTGGGATGTCCCCACTTCTCCACCAACTGATCTGTTCAACTGGGACCCCCTCACCCCAGACAAGGACCAAACTGCGAAACAAAAGACATTTCCTCCTAAACAGTGATCCAGTCTTTGAAATTCCTCCCCCTGTGAGAGGTGCCAGATCACCCTGCAGCCCAAACAGCCAAGGGCACTCACGTGCTGACATCAAGCATAAGCCTCCTATCAGGCTCAGAGTCTTATGTACTTCCAGTGAAATCTCCATAAGACTAGTGAGATATTACAGGCAGTTCTGTCACATGGCAGAAATGCAGTCACAGCTCTCCACACTTGCCTGTGCACGCAAAGCCAAGCCAGCAAGGTTGGACAGAACTGCCAAGATTCATACGATGAAAAATACCACACACTGCCTTAGTTACTTCACCCACTAAAGAAACACTGGCTGGAGCCCCCATGCCAGCTGGTCAGAGCCCTAAGAAAACTCTTGTGCTCCCAAAGTATTTAAAAAATGCATTAAACACAAAAAAAGGTATTTTCATACCTCCTAATTCACCTGAGCAGAAAAACATTTCCAGGGGGAGGGAATGATACAGAAGTCAGGCAGGAACGCACAGACAGAACACTTGCCTTTGGAAACTCCAGCTTTTATTGGGAAGCATTCTAAAAATCACAGAATCACAGAGTGAAGGGACCCACAAGGATCATCGACTCCAGCTCCTGGCCCTGCACAGGACACCCCAACAAGAGTTTAAGATCTAAGCTGATGTTTCCCTTCTCATGTGGCTACAGGGTGCAGAGCCAAGTGCCAAGGCTGCAGCACTGTAATGTGGAAAATGTGTGTGAACAAAGAGTTTGCCATTCAAAGTAACAAACAAACCTTTTCTTTAACCCAGAAGTGGGAATACCCAGGGAAAACTACTGTGCTACTTTGAGCTGTTGTGTGAAGAGATGGGAATCAGAAGGATAAATGTTAGATGTATTATAGGTCTGAAGGAAGTCTAACAGAACAGCTGTAAACAGCCATGACAAGATCTGGAGGTCTAGAGAGGTCCTCACTCAAAAGGCTGTTTGGATCACTGGAAGACAAAGGGAAGAACATTGGCACTAAGAATAAAGGGAGATAGTGTTTGGAAAGCAAAGCACTGGGAAAGATAAGGTTTGCCTTTGGAACTCAGGAAGACAAGGGATATTGATGGTCAGTACTGTTTATGTTGGGGTACTCTGGTTACAGTAACATTAGTGGCTCTTTTTGAAGCAAACAGAAAGCCTGAGAGCTCACACTGGGTTTGGAGAGCTGGAAAATAAACAGAGCTGCAGCCTGGTGTTTGTACACAGGCCCTGAACAGGCTCCTGTGGGAGAGGAGCAGAAGGGAATGGTAGGCCTGGAGAATCACAGGGGGACTGGAGCTTGGAGGGGGCCTTGAGAGGTCCAACCTGCTCCTGGAGGTCAGACCAGGGGCCTCAGGGCTGTGTCCAGCCTGGGCCTGGCAGCCAAGGAGAGGAAGGGACTGCCCAGCTGTGTGTATGCCTGTGCCTGCCCCAGTGCAGCTCTGCCTGCTTCTAAGAGCTGTAATTATGGGAAGGATGGCTGGAGTTCCCCTGAAAACAAGGCCATACAAAGATTTAGCTGGACAACACCCAAGTGCCTGCTGTTGCCCTGTGCCCCAGGCTGGGATCTCCTACTCACACTGGCAGCCCCATCTCCTGGGCTTTAGCTACCAGGAATTTCCCCTTCTTTGGGTGAATCTGAAAAGAGAAAAACAGAATTATCAGCCAAATAAAGAGGGCCAGGAAACACGATCCACGTACTCCCAGTTTAAGTCTTTCCCCACAAGCCAAGGAAATTTTTTTTTTTTTCCTTTTCAGTTCCACAGCCACTGCTCTAATTTAACCCAAAAACCTTTGACCAGACTGTCTGCTTTCCAAGATCAGGCTGCTGCTTCTTGCTCCCTCCTTTAGCCAAGCGAGCAGGACAGCCTGTCCTGCTGGGAGGGTTGAGGAAGAATGGAACCTCCACACTCTTAACAGCTGCTCCACAAAGAACACATGTAAAAAACCATCTCCAATTTTACACAGTCCTACTCCTGCTACAGCAACTCCAACATCGGAAAAGCAGAAACACATTGTAGCTGCAAAGTACTACTTGAAAATGCTGCCTCCAGTTCCATCTGTCCAGCAACATGAAATGTCCTCATGGCATCAGGGAGCATCTCCTTACAGAGAGGGAGGTCAAACACTGCAACAGGCTTCCCCAAGAGGTGGTCAATACCCCAAGCCTGACAGTGTTTAAGAGATGCCCTCAATAATATGCTTTCAATTTTGAGCAGCCCAAAGTGCTCGGGCACTTGGACTGGATGGTTCAACCCTGGAAGTGTCCAAGGCCAAGTTGGACAAGGCTTGGAGCAACCTGGGCTAGTGGAAGGTGTCCCTGCCCATGGCAGGGGGGTTACAACTAGATTATCCTCAAGATCCCTTCCAACCCAAACCATTCTGGGATTTCAGGTGATCATTGTAGGGCCCTTCCCACAGAAATGCTGTTCTATTCTCCAATGTGTTCTGTGTTGGTTTAGAGACCTCTGTGCCCAAGCTTACTTTACAAAGAAAAGCCATCACCAGGTCAGTATTCCTACTTGCACACTTCCGCTCAGCATTTCCTTACCGAGAGGGAGGTCGAACACTGGACCGATTTCCTGGAGAGGTTCTCGAGGAAACCTGCACTTGACCAAAATGTGCTTCTCGTCCTCCTCCGTGCAGGGACGGGCTGCGGAGGCAGCGGGACCCGCCGGGGCCGGTGAACGGGGGCAGGGTGAGCTCTGGGGTAACCGTGAGCTGCCCACCCTTGGCACGGCAGAGCAGAGCGGCGGCACAGCCCGAGGAGGGACACCGGGACACACGGCGGGGTTGGAGGGAGTGTGAGGGGAGAAAAGCGAGCGGTTCATTGCTGGGGTCTCCTCGCGGAGGCGCCGGCTTCGGGGTATTGCTGTGTTACTGCGCCGGAATCAGTGGCTCTATGGAACGGGTCACCCATTAGAATGCTGGGGTGGGACCGGCGAGGAACCCGCGCCCGGCTGTGGGAGTGCGGGGTGTGAGGAGTCCGGCGGGGCCCGGCGGGCACTGGAGCCGCCGCTGCGAACGGGTCCGGGTCCGGGCCCGGCAGCGACAGTGCCTGGCCCTGGGCATGTGACGGCAGAGGATGTGGAATGGCAGGGCCGGGAACGGCGGGACCGTGGGTGGCAGGACCCGGAACGCCCCCAAGGCCCCCGCCCCGCTCCGGCGCGGCCACGTGACACGGCCGGGCAGGGCCCTGGCGACTGAGGAGGCGGGGCGGCCGGGCAGAGTCTCTCTCTCCATTGGTTCACCTCCATCACGTGGCGCGAGAAGGCGGGCCGGCCGGGGCATTCCTCGTCTCTCATTGGCTGTTCCGCCCCTCATGGCGGCGCGGCGTGGACGCCGGCGCGGGCGATTGGCCGGGGGCGGGTGCGCGCGGATGTGGGCGCTGGTGCGGGCACTGTCGCCGGGCCGCGCGCTCGTGTGGGGGCGGGCGGGGAGTGGGGCCGGGATCGGGGCCGGGATCGGGATCGGGGCCAGGATCGGGATCGTCAGGGCCGGGTCCCGCGGCTGGGCCATGTCCGAGGGCCCCTCGGCGGCGCGGCCCGCTCGGCGGCCCAAGGACGTACCGCGGCACGTGTGGGCCCGCGAGCGGCGGCGCAGCGCGGGCGGGAGCCTGGCCGGGCCCAACACCGTGTACGTGCAGGTGGTGGCGGCCGGGACGCGGGACGCGGGGGCAGCCGTGTACGTGTTCTCCGAGTTCAACCGGTCAGTCCCGGGCCGGGAGTGGGCATGGGATCGGGACTGGGACGGGGACCGGTGTGGTGTCTGGGGCAGGGAATCGGGCTGGGGCTGGGAAGGGAGATGGAGATGGAGAGGGGGATGGGGATGGGGCAGGGAATGGGGCTGGAGTCGGGACCTGAACCGGGACCGGTGTAGGGGCCGGGGATGGGCCTGGGGTCGGGACCGGTCGCCCGTCCCGGGCCCGCCCTGACGCCCCTTTTCCCCCCAGGTACCTTTTCAACTGCGGCGAGGGCACCCAGCGGGCCATGCAGGAGCACAAGTAAGTGGGGACACCGGGGGGACGCCCCAAGGCTGGATCGGCCCCTCTGACTCCCGCGCACGCTGTGTCCCCTCGCAGGCTGAAGATCTCCCACCTGGACAGCATCTTCCTCAGCAGGGTGGCCTGGGCCAATGTTGGGGGGCTGCCAGGTGAGCGGGGGGGCTGGCACGGCCACGGGGGCGGCTCTGCGGGCCGAGGGTGGTCGCTTGGTGAGGTTGGGGTTTTTATAGGTCCTGGCAGGACCAGGGATGGTGCAGTCACAGGGCCTGGGATGCACGTGGGGCTCTGTGACAGTGCAGACACATGGTGGGACAGGCCTTGCCTGCCGATCCTGCAGGGCTTTATCTTCCCAAAATCTCCCAGAGCAGAAGGTGTTACCACTGTTGTGTTGCCAGCAGGGAGCTGCTGATGAGTTAGGCTGGTTTGAGTCCAAAGGAATGACAAAGGTTTGTGGCCACCACTGTCCTTAAAGCAGGAGGAGGTTAGAACAGATGGCTTAGGATCTTGTCCATTAAAATTCTGGAAATCTCCAAGAAAAGAGGATGTTACAATATGTTCAGATACCTTGCTCCAAATGATGGCTACCCAGATGTGTAGATATTTTCTTTCTCTGCAGAGGTAAGTGACAAAGCTGAGGCAAAATTGACTTTGCATCTGAGCTCAGTTCAGGCTGAGGTCCAGCACTCCTGCACACTGAGAGGGATCTTTCTTCTGGGATCTCCCAGCAGTAACTGGGGCTGTGATAAAGCTGTTTCCCTGCTTGTTTTTAGGTATGATTCTCACCTTAAAGGCTATAGGGCTTCAGAGATGTATGTTCCTGGGGCCACCAAAGCTGGTAAGTAGGGGAAGGTGCAGAAGGGAGAGCAAACCCTTGAAATGTTAAAGTTCACACTGTAATTGGGAGAGGTGGTGGCAAAGTGAATCTTTGTGCAGGTGTAAAATGCTGGTGTGAGTAAGTGTCAGCCAGGAGGGCTGCCTTCAAAATCCAAATCACAGGACAGTGTAAGACTTCTGCTCCTTAAAACTGTCCTGTCACCTTGTATCCTGATAAATCATCTTTTGAGAGAAGTGAGTTCTTTGTTCCCTTGTCTGCTCCCTCTGGGTTTTATGTCAATAGAAACTCAGTCTGATCTCCTGCTTGAGGAGGTCCTTGCCAGCCTGATGCAACGTCTGGACTGAAAATTTGCAATCCTCAGCATTGTTTTATTTCCATGCAGTTTCTGCTGACTAATTCTATAGATGGAAGGGGTGGGGACAGTGGTTCTTTGTTATCCTTTCTCTTTCCAAACACGCTGTGCCCGCTGGAGGTGGGACCCCTACCCAGAGCTGCCTGGGTTCTGCCCAGATTTGTCTGACTGGGCGCTGAGCCTTTCCCTTCTCTGGAAGTACCTGTAGGTGCTGGAAGCGGTGCTTGTCCTGGCACTGCTTGTGCCACCTCCTGATACACTGTCTCTTTTCCAGCAAAACTACTTGAAGGCCATTCGCCTCTTTCCGGGGCCTCTCAAAAGGATGGATTTAGGTATGTAGGTCAGGGGTGTGAGCAAGTGAACTTGTAAGATCTTGTTTCATCTGTAATCACAGTTACATTGAACAGTAACAACTTCAGAGTAAATGCCTCTGGTTTGGATCCACTCAGAGAAAGTTTTAAACACCTGTTTTGCTCTGCTACACTGTTCAAACCCCTCACAACAGTGTCTCCAGCTCTGTCCCTGCTGGGGGGCTGCCAGGCTGACTGATCCACACAGCATTTGGTTTTAAAACTCTGTGAAGGCAATTTGCTTCCAGAGTCTGCCAGTGAGTTTGCTCACTGGTATCATGGACAACTCCCTGAGGATGGTGGGCTTTTAAAACTTCAAATATTCATTGGGGTTTGAAGTTAGGCAGAGAAAGGCAAGGGGAAGGTTCAGCAGGTTGTGTTTAAGAAAGAAAAAGACACTTTTCTGATTTGCATTGTTGTAGAGTGTGAGTCTCTGCTTATGAAGGTGTTAATGCTGTGTTTGATCTCTTCTTAGCTGTGCAGTTGCACACAGAGCCCGAGTACAAGGATGAGACAATGACAGTCTACCAGATACCTCTGACAGGTGAGCACCTGATGCTGCACTGACACAGGGCAAGCACAGTTAAAGTGGTTCAAGGAGCAGCTTTTGTTTGCCATCCTGAGTAAGCAGAAGTTCATTAATTTGTGTGTTTTTCTAAGGAGAAGGATGTTGTTCAAAGAAACAAGACCTGCTGAGTCAAGGCCTTGGCTTGTTCCTTTAGGTGTGGGTGGGTGGAATGATGTCAAAGCCAAATCCCTGGGTTTGGCTGTCTCAGCCAGCTGAGTTCTTACTGCTGAAAATTGTGATACTGCGAGTGCAGCACAGACTTGACAGAGTTTAACAGTTTGGGGAGGAGGACTTGTATGAGGGATGGCTCCCAAAATAAGTGACTGGAGGGCTGGAGGTCTGTATTTTGGTGCAATTTAAACATCCCTGTCATGGAAGGTGAAATGCTACTCCCGGTTTTCTTGTCTGTCCTTTTTGATTGAGTGATCTTTGTCTGCTTTCACTGGATTTGGGACAGAAAAACCACTGGCTGCTGAAAGTAAATCGCCCCAGAGTCCTGGAGCATCAACCCAAGGTGAAAACAGCCCTAAAGGGGACACAGGGCCTGGATCCCCGAGAGCTGCACAGCAAAGCTTGGAAGAGAGCAAAGGAAATGAAAGCCCAAAGCAAACAGGTGAAAAACATGGAATGGCCTTTTAAACTTTAATGAGATCAAGCTGAATTAAGGGTATGCATTTGTCCTCCGAGCCATTTGCTGTCTGGAAGGGAGGTCTGTAGAGAAGCTCAGCTGGAGGATTCGATGAATCAGAATGTGTTCTGTGCTTTGGAACCTGACACAGAACTCATAAGGGACCTCATGAGGCCTAGAAACTGGGCTTGATTCCTGCTGGGGTGTGATTAGTCCCTGTAGTAGTTTGCTTCTAGCTGGGGTGTGTGCTCCAGCCTTTGTAATTTAATTACAGCTGTATGTTGGGCTGATTGTTTTTCAGTCTTGGCTTTAGTTTGGTTTCTTGTAGCTGAAGCCATGGGCTCTCTGGCCTTGTGTGCTCGTACGTTTTGCTGCTGGATTCCAAGTTGGGCGGATGATGTTCCTGTGTTGCTCCTGTTAATGCTTTAGCAAATATTGGCACATTTTGGTTTTAAGGAAAGTGACAGTGAGTGATGATTTTGAGTAGTTTTGCTTTCTTTTGCAGGTGATGAGCGGAAGTGTGCAAGTAGAAATACTGACCTGGTGATGGCTTTTCTTTGTAAAGTAAGCTTGGGCACAGAGGTCTCTAAACCAACACAGAACACATTGGAGAATAGAACAGCATTTCTGTGGGAAGGGCCCTACAATGATCACCTGAAATCCCAGAATGGTTTGGGTTGGAAGGGATCTTGAGGATAATCTAGTTGTAACCCCCCTGCCATGGGCAGGGACACCTTCCACTAGCCCAGGTTGCTCCAAGCCTTGTCCAACTTGGCCTTGGACACTTCCAGGGTTGAACCATCCAGTCCAAGTGCCCGAGCACTTTGGGCTGCTCAAAATTGAAAGCATATTATTGAGGGCATCTCTTAAACACTGTCAGGCTTGGGGTATTGACCACCTCTTGGGGAAGCCTGTTGCAGTGTTTGACCTCCCTCTCTGTAAGGAGATGCTCCCTGATGCCATGAGGACATTTCATGTTGCTGGACAGATGGAACTGGAGGCAGCATTTTCAAGTAGTACTTTGCAGCTACAATGTGTTTCTGCTTTTCCGATGTTGGAGTTGCTGTAGCAGGAGTAGGACTGTGTAAAATTGGAGATGGTTTTTTACATGTGTTCTTTGTGGAGCAGCTGTTAAGAGTGTGGAGGTTCCATTCTTCCTCAACCCTCCCAGCAGGACAGGCTGTCCTGCTCGCTTGGCTAAAGGAGGGAGCAAGAAGCAGCAGCCTGATCTTGGAAAGCAGACAGTCTGGTCAAAGGTTTTTGGGTTAAATTAGAGCAGTGGCTGTGGAACTGAAAAGGAAAAAAAAAAAAAATTCCTTGGCTTGTGGGGAAAGACTTAAACTGGGAGTACGTGGATCGTGTTTCCTGGCCCTCTTTATTTGGCTGATAATTCTGTTTTTCTCTTTTCAGATTCACCCAAAGAAGGGGAA